ACACCAAACCGCGAGAGGAGGGTGCCAAGCGTTGCAGGGAATCTGGCAGGTCCTTCGGACAGCCTCTCGGGGAGCAAGATTTAACAAAGGCGGGCAGAATTTTCCCAGGAAGCCCGTTTCAGCCCCTGCTATTAATCTTCACCAGCGAAGTGAGGCCCTGGGGAATGTCCTTGCTTAGCATTGCACATCCCTTCATAATCCCCACCAGGCAGTGACGAAGCCATCCCCACCCCTGATGTGCCTCACCTGCACTTGGGGCACACAGCCTGTGCCCCCCCCCCCCACACCAGTCTTGTCAGGGAGGGGAGGATCAAAAAGACACGTGTTTTGCCTGCCTGCTTTGCCCAGAGGTGGCCCGGCCTCCCGAGTCAGGCCGCCAGTCTCTCTGGCACAGTTTTCTCTGAGTGGCAGCAGCTCTCCAAGGGGCCGTCAAGAGGTCTCTCGTATCACTTGCTGCCTGAGAAGCAGAGATGCTGGGGACTGAAACCGGGACCTTCCAAGCAATGTTCCTTATAAGCTGGGGAGGCTTGTGAGCAAAAATTCTACTTTTGTGAGCTACTGGCATTAAAGTTGTGAGCGAGCGATTTGGCTACTGCATAAATTAGTTTGCTGTGGAGCCCTCCTTCCTGAGCTGGGATGTGTGACCTGGAGACTAAAAAACTGTGAGCTAGCTCACACTAACTCAGCTTAGAGGGAACACTGCTTCCAAGGGCACAGCAGACGCTCGACCACTTCAACATGGCCGTTGCCCCCCGTCCCCCCACGCTTCACCTCTTCATGCCGAGGCTGACAACCAATAGAATATGCTGCATCTACTCTCACAGGCCGTGTGTGCCCATGACTGAGCAGGGCTTCTGCTAATGACAGGGCGGGACTCTGCTACCTTTCCCCATGCTTGGCAGGAGCGGGATAAATGGTGTGAAAATAAGCCGCCTGGCTGACGCTCACAGGCTGCAGAATTCAGCTTCTGGGTGCTGCGTAAGTAAAGAGGAGGACACAGCCCTGAGATACTCTCTGGTGCATTGAATCGTAGAGCTGGAAAGGGGCCACAGAGGCCATCTAATCCAACCCCCTGCCCGGTGCAGGATCAGCCTCAATGCAATTTTCCAAAGAGATTAGTTGCTGTAGATTTTCTGGGTTGTGTGGCCGTGGTCTTGGCATTGTAGAACCTCCAAAGAGAAGACTGTAGAACTCTCCAAAGAGAGTGATTAAAATGGGGTATTACCTGTAAGAGGATGTCGTGATGGCCACAGGAATAAACAACTTGAAAAGGGGATTAGATAGATTCACGGAGGACATGTCTGTCAATAGCTACTTGCCATGGTGACTGAGGGGAACCTCCACATTCAGAGGCACTAATCCTCTGAATCCCAGAGCCAGGAGGCAACATCAGGGGAAGGCCTTGGCCTCTCTGCCCTGTTGTGGCCCTCCAGAGGAACTGGCTGGCCAGCTGTGTGAGACAGGATGCTGGACTAGATGGACCACTGGTCTGACCCAGCAGGGCTCTTCTTAGATTCTTATGAAGGCCTCGGCCTCTCTGCCCTTTAGTTGGCCCTCCAGAGGAACTGGTTGGCCCCTGTGTGAGATGCGATGCTGGACTAGGTGGACCATTGGTCTGACCCAGCAGGGCTCTTCTGAGGTTCTTATGAAGGCCTCAGCCTCTCTGCCCTGTAGTTGGCCCTCCAGAGGAACTGGTTGGCCCCTGTGTGAGACGGGATGCTGGACTAGATGGACCCTGACTGGTCTGATCCAGCAGGGCTCTTGATGTTCTTATGAAGGCCTCTGCCTCTATGCCCTGTTGTTGGCCCTCCAGAGGAACTGGTTGGCCCCTCTGTGAGAGACAGGATGCTGGACTAGATGGACCCTGACTGGTCTGATGCAGCAGGGTTCTCCTTATGTTCCTACCCCCGACGTGTTCATCCAGCGGCTGAAGGCTGCCAATGAAAGGGAGCACACCACCTCCCTTGGCAGCCCATTCCACTGTTGAGGTGCTCTTACTGTAAGTGCTGAACTCTCCAAACCCTCACCCCCAGACGCATAAACACACCTCTCTGAGGTTTTGTTTCCAATTCCACATTCACTCCCCACTGAGGCCTCACCTGCGATTGGCGATGCGGCTGCTGTTCCGGCCCATGCCGAGGCACTTCTCCAAGTGTGGGGCGAAGCGCGAAGCAGCGATGCTTCGGCTGCAGTTCGGGCAAACACATTCCTTGTTCTTCCACTGGTTGTACACCTGGCCGAAGATATCCAGCCCTGGCTGATCCACAATTTCTACAGGCAGGGAAGAGCAGAGAGCCACAGAATAAGCAACTTCATTGGGGGGGGGGTCAGACAGGTGGACCTGCTGGTGTAAAATCTAGAGCGGCTGTTCAGCACAGCGAAGCTTCGGATCTTTTATGCACAACCCTCAGCCACAGGGAGGAGAGGGCTCCAGAGTACACGGTTGTTCTCATCGCAAAACATGAACTGCAAAATCACAGACTCATAGAATGTTAGAGTTGGAAGGTGCCTTGCAGGTCATCCAGTCCAACCCCCTGTACTCTGCAGGACCATAGCCGAAAGATGGCCCTACAACATACCCGAAAGATGGTCGTCCAGCCTCCCCTTGAAAACATCCAGCGAAGGAGCATCCACCACCTCCCGAGGCAGACTGTTCCACTGCTCTACCACTCTTACAGTTAGGAAGTTTCTCCTGATATTTAGCCGGTAACGACTCCTTTGTAATTTCCACCCATTAGACCTGG